TGGGTTTTCCTTTGAATGTGATCTGCTTCTTTTCTCTAGCGGCTTTCAGTAGATTATTCTTGTGCTGAATTTCTGGGATCTTGACTATTATATGTCTTGGTGTGTTTTTAATTGGGTTGAGGTTACTTGGTGTTCTGTATGATTTAATTACCTGAATATCAGATTGTTTTCTCATATTTGGGAAGTTTTCTGCTATTACTTCTGCCCATATTTTTTTAATGTCCTTTGTATTGACTCCTTCTTTCTCACTGATGCCTGTTAGTCTCACATTGTTCATCTTTGTATCATCTTGCAGGTGATGGATTTTTTTTCCTGCATCCTCGTTGTTTTTAAGAGATCCTTTCTTACCTTTTCACTAGCTGCACCAGCGTCTTCAAGATCTGAAACTCTCTCTTCACTTTCACTTAAATGGTTTTGCAAGCTTGTGATTGAGATTTTAATTTCCTCTATATCTCTTTGACTCTGTTTCCTGCGATCTATTTCTTTCCTGAATGTGTCGATTTGCAGGATCAATATGAGTCTTAACTGTGTAGCAAGACCCTTTACCAACAGAGAAAAAGAATTCTTTACAAACATTAAAAATGTTGCAGAAAGTACATTCAGTAAAAACTGTGATAGCATTTTAAGAGTGTAATAAATTGCAGGTGTAAGATTTGTATATTGATGCACTTTAATCTTGTAGTCTTTGCTGTGTTAGAGTAGAATGGATTGTTACAATGTACTTTTTCTTTTTCCAGAAATGCTGCTCCTGCATACCTGCTTGCTTATGCTACTATGCCCAGAGCCTTGGGTACAGGACTTGTTAGGAGTGCGCCATACCTCTATCTTGAGAAGCGAATCTCTGTCTTTTCCCCAGTTGGTTGGGGTAGGAGCTTTGTCCCATTTCCTAGTGATTTGTATGTGGGTAGGGTCCTGCATGTATGTTGGAGACTTTGCTTCTTCTGCCTCGCTCCCAGTGTGAGTGCTCTTTGGCTCTGCCCTGGGGATGACAGAGTTTACTTTCTCTTCACATTTTTAAGGGAAACAGTCCTCAGAAATATGCCCACATCTCAGCAGCCACTAGTGGCCCAAGTGTCTCCTTTATACCTACAACAAGTATGCATGTGCCACAGGGGTTTATTTTTGGCTTAGCTCTTCTGCTTCAATTCTAGTCTTCCTCTTGAGTGCCTGATGCAGGCCTGTAGAAACGACCATGCTAGTGTGTGTGGATTTGCAGGTCCAAACTGCTACTACCCTTAGTGTTTAACAGCTTGTTAAAAGTTTGACTTATTTCCCTTCCCACTCAGTCTGATGGCCACCTCTGTCTCTTATGTTCTAGGCAGGGAGGAAACAGTGCAGTCTATTTTTCTGGAGGGGGGAAAGCTGCTGCTCTTTGGAATTGAGACTGTCTTCCTTAGAGCCTTAATTCTCTGACAGGCTCAAAAAGTTGTATTTCTAGAGTATTCATCCTTCTGTATGAATTATTATATAATTATAAAATTATTTATAATTTTCTAAATGTTAAGATTAATGTTAATTTTAGCTTCTAAACATTTAATTTTTTTCTTGTACAGAAAATAGATATGAAAAATTGTATTACTACTTCCAACTAATGTCAATAATATGCCTTTCTGAACATACGTTTTCTTATATTTTTGTTTTAAAGTGACACTTGGCTTTACTTTTATTCACGTAGCCCCACTTGCTTGGCTGTTAATATTTCCCAGTCGTTTATGAATAGCCAAAATATTTGGGGATTGTTAGAGATGTAAACAGGAGAGCATTCTTCTAGAAGTTTTTGCAGGATGGGTTGACTTGAAAGTGTGTCTTGCTGATTTGACCTCTTAGGCTTTGACTTGACTGTGTAAGTCAGATGGCCTTTCTGTATTTCTGGGGCTAGGATGTTAAAAATGGCATTATAAATATTTTAGAGCATATAATAAAAATATATTGCAACTGGTAGAAACTTTAGTTTCTATCCAAAGAAATATATCTCCAGAAACATATTGAATTAACTACTTCTTAGCATATACGTAAGACAATAGAATAAGTTACAACATGTAATGTGCCATGTAAGATGTTACTCTGTAAATATATAAACTAATTTCGTTTTATTACTGTGCTTTTTTTGTTATTGTTTGTTATAAAATTGTTTCCATCGGTTGTGGTAATTTTTTTTTCTGGAGTACATTAGAGAAACTAATTTTTTTCTTGGTTGTTTCCCTGCAGAAAACTGCACCAGCAGTTTGAAATGTACAAGGAGCAGGTGAAGAAGATGGGAGAGGAATCACAGCAACACCAAGAACAGAAAGGTGATGCCCCGACCTGTGGGATCTGCCACAAAACCAAGTTTGCCGATGGCTGTGGCCACGACTGTTCCTATTGCCAAACCAAGTTCTGTGCTCGCTGTGGAGGCCGTGTGTCCTTACGCTCAAACAAGGTATGGAGTGGAAACACGGCAACTCTCTAGGAGTAAAGCTCATTGGGAATAAAATGGAGAAGATAACTGAAATTAATATTTGCACAAACCAGAGGGCAAAACCCTCTCTTGGCTTCACTTTAGGTAAAAGTTGGTTTAAGTTTTCATTGAATTCAAAGGATATTTGTTTCATTGTTTTGTGTCAGATAGCTTATGGTTTTGTTTAGAATCATAGGATCTTAGACTTTTAAAGAAGATCAGAACAATTTAGAGAGCAACTCTTTGAAAGGGCAACTGATACCACTCCTTTATTTTATAAGTGCTACAAATTCTGCTCTAGAGACTAAATTTCATTCCTAAATCCACATCACTGGTAAATGCCACGGTTTGGTATAGCTTGCGACAAATACTTGCAGAAGCCTTGAGGGTCTGCTGTTCCTTGGTCTGTTTCCTTTCCTTTTGGAAAAGGTGCTTTGAGGGGCTGACCCATGATTTTATAGCTTTTGCAGCTATATTACTGTTTTTTTTTAACATTAATGAGATAGAATTTTAAAAAGAAATGTTAAAGATTTATTTTATTCTATACTTTGTGTTTTATGAAAAAGATAAGATGCAATTTTATAGTCAAAGCATAAGAGGATAACAATAGCTTTTATATATACTGGATTATCTATCCACTTTAGTGAAGATGGTAATGTTACCCGAAGACAGCTTTGTTGAAATTAACAAAAACAGTATTTTAAAATGTTCATTTCAGTGAGTTATTTAGAATTTGCCTTTGTGACCTCACTAGTCTCTTATCACCTAATTATTCTCTTTGGTCATTTCTGAATAGGAAGCTGATTTGTCTGTGTACATTAGTTGGACATACTGTGGGAATTCATTTGGGTGATTTTATTTCTTCATTTTTCAAGGGCCGGCAAGATAGCTCAGTGGAATAAGCACCTGCTTAGGCAAGCCTAGGGACCAGGGTTCGATCCCTGGAACCACATGCTGCACTGGCCCTGCCCCCAGGTGTGCTGAGCTGGCCACCAAGACCGGGCTTGGTGGCACATGCCTATAAGCCCAGTGCTAGGGAGGCTGAAAACCAGAGGATTACTGTGAGTCCAAGCTGCATAGTGAGACCCTGTACTAAATACATTTCTTCATTTTTCTATGTTCTCTTTTCTCAGTGTTTTGTTTTATCCAGAATTAATAACTTCTTTTTCCTAATCTTCTCCTTTGGCTTACCTTATATTCATTTATTCCCCCCACTATATTCCACTTGGTACATTGGCTAGAAACTCTGGTATAATTCTGAATAGAAGTGGTGAGAACAGACATCTTTGTATCATTCTTAATCTTAGGGGGAAAGCATTCAATATGTTTTTAGGGTGTATTGGAAATCAGACCTCATGCTTGCCAGGCAGGTGCTCTGCCACTGAGATATATCCTGGGCCCCAAGCATATTTTTTGGTCTGAAACCTACTTTAATTTTAATGTAGCTTCTCCAGCTTTCTAATAGGTATTATTATTATTGTTATATGTTTTTCTGTTGTTTTATTTAAATCTTAGATGTGTCTTTATATTTAAAGTACTTTTCTTGTACACAGCATCCGATTGAGTACTTTGTTAACCAGTTTGATAATCTTTCCTTTTAATTGCATACTCAGACAATTTATATTTTAGGACATTATTGATGTCATATGATTTAATTATATCATCTTGCTTTTTACTTTCTCTTTGTCTCAGTTGGTCTTTGTTTTTGTTTTGGATTGCTCAAGTATTTTTATAATTTCTTTTCCCACTATCATTAATTTGTTATTATTGTAATTTTATTTTCAGAATGGATAATGTACAACTTTGAAATATAGTAAACCTTCGACTGATACCACTTCATTTTATGTATAATAATCTTACAATAGTGTACTCCTAGTTTCTCTTCTTTACCCTTTTTTTTTTTTTTGGCTTCTATCTTACTTTTTCTTACAACATATAGTTATGTATTTTGTTTAAAAGGTTTATCTTTAAAGAATAATGTAATACAAATTGTGCATTCTTTTTTTTTGGCGGAACCCGGGATTGAACTCAGGCCCTTGCACTTGCCAGGGAAGCGCTTATTCCCCTGAGCCATCTCCCCAGCCCCATAATTGTGCATTCTTGTAGTTAGCATATTGGAGACAATTTTGTGGATCAGTGTGTCTGTCTTAATTGCTTGAAGGATTGCCTTCAATTTTTCTTATAGTAAAAGTCTGCTGGTGATGAATACTTTCTGTTTTTTCTGTGCTGAAAATTTTTCCTTTATTATATTTTTAGGTATAGAATTCTAAGTTAACAGTTTTTTTCAGTATTTTGAGGTTATTACTTCACTGTCTTTTCCTTTCACCAGTTTCACAAGAAATGTGATTTTTTTTTTGAGTTTTCTTTGCATGATGTATCATTTTTGTATGACTGCATTAAAAGTTTTATCACAAGTTATGTCCAATTTAACTATGGCGTTTCTTGGTATACTTTTTGTTTTTGGTACCTGGAATCTTTTGCTTTTGTGAGTGTTTCATAAGGTTTGGGGAATTTGGGTCATTGTGTTTTCAAGTTTTTCTACTTTCTCTTTCTTTTCTCCTGAATTCAAAGACTATTTACCTATAGCATCATGTAGCTCACTTATATTCTTTTCATTAAACACTAAATCAAATCATATTTTTTGTTCTTAGTTTATTTTACTCTCCGTTACTGTGTTTTCAAATTACTATCTTTTCTTCAATGTCAAGTCTCTTATCTATTTATTCTTTCAAGCATTATACTTTTCATGACTAGAATTTCTATTTGGAACTTGAAATATCTTTTAGTTCTAAAATTTTTTTGCATGTGTACAATTCTAGTGTAATAACTATTTTAATGTCCTCCTTTGCTAATACTAGTATCTGTCAGGTTTGGCTGAGTTCTGATGGGTTATTCTCATGCTGTCAGGTTAACTATGCATGTCTGGCATATTAATTAGCATGGCAGGAACTGTATGTTTTACTGGTGTCGGCTGTATTTGGCTTCCTTTGACAGTTCTTGAGAGCTTTATTCTTGGGTGCAGTTCAGCTATGTGGAAGCAGTAAATACTTTCACATTATGCATTTATGAGTTTTTATATGTATCTGAAATAGTGCTCTATTTAATGCTAATTTATTTTCTTTTACTGAGGAAATATGTTTGTGAACACTTTAGCCAGTGTCCTGATAACTATGCACTTTTCCAGCTTTGCTAGTGAGAATACCCATGCTGCTCTATAACCCCTTCAGACTATTTTTTTTCATTCTCTCACTGATCACCATTCAGCTAAATACTTGAAGGACGCTGCCGATTTCCTGGTTCCCACTGTGGAGCTCTCCTCCCTGGCTCTTCTCCGGATGCCCAGCTTTTTTTCTTTCCCTGCGTGTGGCTCCACTTGTGCACCCCACAATGGCCCTGCCTTCTGGAGAACTCAAAATAGTAGTACAAGTGGTGATTGTAGAGTTGATGTTGTTTCCCATCTTTCAATGTTCACTTCTTTTGTTACCTCTTGTCCAATGTCTTAATGAAATTCTTCCACATAATTGTCTGTTTTTTGTTTGTTTCTGGCAGGAGGAAAAATCTGATCCATGTTACTCCATTTAGGCCAGACACACAGAAGTCCACAATGACATATGAATACAGATGAGCTGCTTGAAAATGGACTTCTCTATGTTCAGTGTATGATCCCGATATGCTGAGCACAATGGTAGTCAGTAAATTAAATGCAGTGAAAAACTGCAGTAGTCCATGACATAAGTTGTACTATGGTCATCTGCAAATCATATCTTCATCTGGTTTTTTTTTTTTTTTTTTTGGCACCACGGAATCAACCTCAAGACCTTGTGCTTGCGAGGTGGGCGTTTATGCCACTGAGCTGTATCCCTAACCCCATCTGCCTATGTTTTTGATTAGCCTGCTGGTGAAGAGTTATTGAAAAAAGGAAGGGGCTAGAGGCACTGTCTCTCCACTTTTATCATATTTCTTAGATCTGAGATGACTGTTAGGAGAATAAAATGTATTTGTCATAAAAGTATCTTAATTTATGTAGGAATGCATTCCTTTGAATGAAATGTATAAAGATTTCCTATATTCTAAATGAAATGACTATTCAGATCAATTTTTTCTTTGAATTTGATCATCATAGTTACAATGTAGTAGAAATTGCCTCATATAACAGATGCCTGATACATTTCTCTGATATCATAGTCCCAAAGGATTCAAATAGGGAAATTTGCTCAGAGTCTTCTTTTTTTTTTTAAATTTTTTCCCCATAATTTTATTGATAAACAAATAGCAGTGACACAGTTTCAAATCAAATTGGTAGGACAGTTTCAATAATTAACACATTGATACCTTCTTCCTAGTGGTTAATTGCTGTACAAGATGCGAACATGATATCCTAACACCATTAGAACAAATCACTCTATTCATTGAGAGAATGTAACTATATATCTATCCTAACCACTTTGAGTACACAGATACAAAATAGACATTCATCTGTATCCCCTTTTTTGGTTAAGTTCCATTATTTGAGTATTAAAGGTGTGTAAACTCAGCAAAATATTCTAAAAGAGTCCAGTAGCCCATAATAGTATTGGGTCTTCTGCTTGACTGGCAATGTCAGAAATTGTTGACCTGAGTCCCCTACAGCTCACCATAACAGCATAGCTTTACTTCTTATACTTC